ATTTTCCCATAAGGTTCAATGTAATTACTGTTAATCCGTTCCGGCGTCCGCAGACCACGCGGCAGGGGTGGAAAAACGCCGCGGACCATGCGGCAGGGCAGAAAAATGGCCGCGGACCATGTGTCAGGGGCGGAAAAATGGCCGCAGACCACGTGTCAGGGGCGGAAAATGGCTGCGGACCATGCGGCAGGGCGGAAAAACGGCCGTGGACCATGTGGAACGGGCAGAAAAATGGCGGTGGACCACGTGGAACAGGCGGAAAAGGGCCGCGGATCCAGTTCGCAAGTCGAGGTGAGTTTGCAAGTCAAGGTAAATTTTTGGGGCCGGAGCTGATCGTATCTCGAAAAATTCGTAAGTAGGGGCGTTCGTAACTAGAGGTACCACTGTATATGGTAATTTTTAAAATCTGCATTTTAAGTGGGTTTAAAAGAAATCTCCCTTGAGTGGAACTGGGTTCCTGGGAAATTCTTCTCTTCCTCTAATTCCGTGTTTCTCAACCTCAGCAGGTTTAAAATGTGTGGACCAACTCCCAGAATTCTGGGAGTTGAAGTCCACACATCTTAAACCTGCTGAGGTTGAGAAACACTGCTCTAATTTACAGCTTTGGAGAGCTGTATATATGACTCACCTCATCAATAGAAGAATAGACCCTGTTTGCACTTTCCCCACTATCTAGTTCACAAGTTTGGAATCTACCTTGATTTTAAGATGGTAATCTTCTGACTTTTCAGTCCCTGGAGTCCTCTCTACATCCTTTAGGGAAATTGCTGAAGGCTCTGACCTTGGTGTTTCAGTCAACCTATTCCGGCATTGGCGCTAACAAGCATCTGCTGAGAATGGCCCAAGAAGAGGTCAAACACTACGCCAACAAAATATGGGAATTCTACCAGTACGTATTGCTTTAATTCCACAACAGCTTCCTGCGTCTTCTCCTCTCTTGGAAATCTAAGCTGCTAAGCAACTGCAAATAAATTTAATTTTTGCTTTGGGCCATCAGCTCGCATCTCTAGAGTCTTCTTGGTTCTGGAAATGAGAAGACTTATTTTAGAACGTCATGCAGGCCCATCAAGGCAGGAATAGAAATGGAGTCTTTCATTTCTCTTCCTCCCTGGATTGTCTTCCTTAAATCTTCCTTCGTTTGTAAGAGATCCTGGATGGGGGAATATGAATGAGGGCTTTGTTTTTAACAGTTTCCCTCTCCTCTCTCCTTTTCCCTCATATCCACAGGTGGGAGGCCCAAATCTTCAGCTAAAGCATAGTTTAAATCAGTGTTTCTCAAC